TTGCTATGAAGGAGCCTTAAGCTTCGGGGGAGGATTGATCAGAAAGAAACGTGAGCTGCTGATGTTCCGACCTGGTGGTATTTTCCCCAGCAAGTGCCCTCTGCATGGAGTGATCAGCACCCCCTGGAGAACACTCAGACTTGTTACTCAGAAGAACAAGGCCCAGGGGTGAAGGAACTCACCCATGCACAAGGGTGTTAAATGCTTGAGGCAGATGGAAAATTAAATGGCGGTACAGACCACAGAAGACAGGGAAGTGGGGCTGGGATGGGTGGGGCTGGCTTCTTGTGCTTCTGGCCCAGGATAGAATGAGCCAGGCCCAAGTGCAGAAGTAGCTGTGGAGGTGTGCAGGTGACTCCTTCACTCACAGCCTTTCCTGGACGTTTACTCCCATGTGACACCAAGGTTCTTTCTGGAAACTTCCATCAGGAATTTTGAGCTGGGGGCTGGAGAGATGTCCTAGTGGTTAAGAGCACTAGCTGCTCTTTCAGGGGACCCAGGTTAAATTCCCAGTGCCCATATGGCAGCTCAAAACTGCCTGTAACTCCAGTTTCAAGGGATCCAACATCTTCACACAGACATACATGCAGGCAAAATATGAATGCACATGAAATAAAAATAAAAATAAACTGCTCCCGTCTATTGTTCCAACTCCTCTTTGGAGTCATGGATCCTGAAGAGAAAGTCATAGCTCCATATATGTGCTGAGAAGACTCCTAGGGACAGAGGGTTATGACTCTTAGGGACAGAGGGTTATGACTCCTAGGGACAGAGGGTTATGACTCCTAGGGACAGAGGATTATGACAAGGCTTGGAAGGAAGAAGCACCACAACCAGTGTGTGGCCTGGGAGGATGTTAGCCTTGCACAGGGCCTTTACATCTCTGCTGGGTGTTTGGGCTGACCCTGACCTGGGCCTGGGCCAAGCTCTCCATCCTTTCTTAGTGCCCCCCCCCACACACACCTACAGGAGGGCACAGCAGCTCCCAGCCAGGGACTTCAGGTATAGGTTACTGGCTCTCTCCCACCTGGTGGGTGAGTCATCTCAAAGACTATATTCTGCTTTACCCATGTACTGGGGTGTGGCCCTTGATGTGACCGAGGACTGGAGTCTTGTCTTTTCCTCTGAAGTTCCCACTTCTTTCAGAAGGTGCTGGAAAAGCTGGGAAGGGCCGGTTGGGCAGGGAGGGCAGTACGCAGATGGTGTCTCCGGGGTATCACCACACAACTGGGCAGTCTACAGGGAGGTGCAGACAGTGTCCAGGAGTCGGGGAGGTTCACTGCACATGGGGCTATCTATAGGGAAGGCAGTGTGTAAATAGTGTCCGGGGGGGTCACCCCACACTGGGCTGTCTGCAGCGAGGGTAAAATGCAGACAATGATCTGGGGGGTGTCACCCTGCACTGGGGTGTCCCAACAAGAGCTTGAACTGAACCATGACCCCAAATTGGAAAACACGGCTCCATTTCACCAAACCCCAAACTGAACCCAAATATTATTACTTTTTGACTGTGCTCCGAATCCCACGAATGTTTTCTCTTAAATACCTACCTAACCAGTTTGAACTAGACACAAACATATGTGTTTTCTAAAACCATTCACCCTGAACTTCAAAATAATCTCCCACCCGAGGCGATGTGAGACTTTGTGGATTGGGTGTGTCCTGGTCACAGCAGCTGTAGAACCCCGTTCATGGCCCGTGTCCCCCTCATGCTCTGAGTACTTAAACTTCACTTCCTAGCTTTAAAAACGGAAATAGAATTTGCATACAGTAGAGTGTACTTAAATGCACAGTTGGATAAATGTTCACTAATACACTTATGTAAGAATTTGGTCCCCTTTAGTCAAGATGTAGCACATTTTCACCAGTCTGGAGAATTCTTTTCCCTTTCCCAGGCCATCTTGCTCCCATACACAATCCTGTTTTGATGTCTGTCTCCTTTGCTTCTCATCTGAAGTGTCTTACCAACCCTCATCCCTATCTTAGAAAAAGAGAACATGCAGATACCCATTTTAGGGACAGGACAACAGAGGCTCCCTTGCTATTTCTCTGGAGGTCACAGAGATGGAGCTACCCGGGTTCTGGCTGCTCAGTTCCAATTCTGGTATTCCATGTTAGCCTTCTGCTAGATTACAGAGCCATCCTGGAGTGGTTGCTTTCAGCAGCTCTCGAGGGAGTGGAGCTTCTATCGGCCTCTATGTACCATGGGACACATTTGCCCCCTAAGCAGGCCATTCTTTCCCCACTCACTTGTGGGACCTTGTCAACAGAGAGTGAGTGTTCCTGTACATTGCTATCTGCGCTGTGTCACTTAGCACCAGGGACTTCTGGTGCCCAGCACATCCCTGTGACAGTGTCCCGCACTGGGCCAGGTCCCCGTCTCCAGTCTGCCTGTGTGTGGTGTCAGTTGGAGGCTCTGGTGCTTGTTGTGTACAAACTATATGTGACCCCTGAGAGCAGTGCCTGTCTCTCTGAGCCACCAAGCAGCGAAACATTGAACAGGCTCCCGGGCCTGGCTTCCTGGGGAGACATTTTCCAGGTCTGCAACAATGTTGAGTTTGATTTGATTTCCCCCTTTGCAGGCGATTGTGTGGTTTGGGGTGTTTTGCTACTAGTTATAATCCCATAAAGCACAGCTGCTGAGATTTTTCCAAGAGGGCTGCTTTCAACCGCCCTCGTTGAAAAGGCTCTAATTTATTTCAGTCGCTTGTGGGAACCCAGCCTGAGCTCAAGACAAAGGCGTCCTGTGTTGATGTAATTGCCTGCAAGTGTCTCCTGGGAGAGGCTTTGCCATCCAGAGCCACCTTGCTGTCTTCCACCCCTCTCAGAGGGACACAGTAGTCCCAAGCCTGGTGGAGCTCAGGAGCCAGGACCGGCTTCTTGGCTGACCCATTTCCTGTGATCACAAGCCTCGTTCCTCAGCCAGTCATGTTAGTGTGAATTAATCTCTTTTGGTTTTGTATGGAGCCAAGTCCTGCCCACCGAGGGGTAACACTTGGGGTGAAGAGATTGATTAAGAGGGAATTTCAGCTAAATAGAGCAGAAATATAGACTCTCGGGCCCACCTCAGACTCTGCAGCCAGGCCTGATCCCCAGAGTGAAGGCCCACATACCGAGGTACGTGGAAAGTGCACCAGCCTGGAACCCAGCCTGTCCTTAGGAGCCATCTGCCCCGGCAGCCTCTTGCCAAGTGGTGTTCCGTCTGTGCACTGGGCTTGACCTCCTCATGCTAAAACGAGGTGGAGGGATGAGGAGGTGGCTCAGTGATTAACGGTGCTTGTCACGGAGTTCAGGCCTCCAGAACCCATACAAATGCCAATGAGCATAAAGGTTCATGTCTCTGAAGGCAGAGACAGAGGACCCCCAGTGCCTGGCAAGAGCTGCCATACCTGCAAGCTCTAGGCTTGACTGAGAGACCGTGTCTCAATGAATTCTCAAAGAATAAGGTGGAAAAGCAATTGAGGCCTCCACATGTATGCACACACATGCACCTTCTCACACATGCAAAAACATGCATGCGTGTCCATGCATACCACACATGAGAAAAAAGGAAAAAAAAACAAGTAGAAAACATCTATTTGAGTGTGGTAGTTTGAATGTAATTGGCCCCCATAATCTCGCAGGGAGTGATGCTATTAGGAGGTGTGGACTTGTTAGTGTAGGTATGGCTTTGTTGGAGGAACTGTGTCACTGTGGGGGCGGGCTTTGAGGGTTCTTATGAAGTAATAGGAGCGGCGGGGCTGCATTCCCAGCACCCCAGCCGCCTGCTCGGCTAGCTTATGCCTGAAATAATTACACGGAAACTGCATTCATTTAATCACTGCTTGGCCATTCTCTTCTAGGCTAATTCTCACATATTAATTCAGCCCATTTCTAATCATCTGTGTGTAGCACCCCAAGGTGCGCTTACCGGGGAGATTCTAGCCTAGTCCATCCTGGGTCGGAGCTTCATGGCATGTATCTGCCCGGGAGCAGGGCATGGCGTCTCTGCTGAGGCATCTGCTCAGGAGAGCAGAGCTGTGGAGTCTGACCTCACTTCCTCTTCCTCCCAGCTTCTGTCCTGTCTACTCCTCCCACCTATCCTCTAACCAATAAAATGGGCCAGGGCAGTTCCTTTATTAACCAATGACCTTCCTCCATCATTCTTATACTCAGGATACTGCCAGTGTGTCAGTCGACTTCCTGTTGCCTGCAAGAGGTAGGATTGTCAGCTCCAGCACATCTGCCTGCACACTGCCGTGCTTCCCACCATGATGATGATGGACTAAACCTCTGAAACTGTAAGCGAGCCAGCCCTTCAGTTAAATGTTTTCCTTATAACAGTCGTGTGGGACAATGTCTCTATCTGCCCCTGATCTGGTGGGCATTTTAACCATAGTCATGGCAAGCACCCCAGGTAGATGCACTCCTAGCCCTTCCTGGTTCTGGATGGAGAAAGGCCCCACAAGATTGGTTAGTTGAGAAGCCTGGGGCCATAGGGGAGACTGATTTTCCCAAGGCACCCATGAGCCAGGGTTGAACCAGAGTCTGGGATTCCCAGTCCCATAAAGATTGCCACACATGGACACTCTGGGTCTTGGATCAGATCCTTGTCTGGTGCCTTCTTCCTGTGTCTCACAGGGCCATGCCTGCTAGAATATCCCCGAGGTGTGAGGAGGTGGACATATGCCTGCTAGAACATCTGAGGGTCCTTTCAGCATGCATGGCCTTGACTATGGATTTGAGGTTGGAAAATTAAAGCTACATTTGAGGTCTTCCACAAAAGAACCATGTCCTGGTTCCACAGGTGGGTTGCATACATGCACACAGGTCAGGAGAGAAGAGGCAGGGAGAAGGGAATAAAGATGGTGGCTCATGTAATGAAGGGAAAGGATACCGAGGAACCCTGGGAAGTGGAAGATGATGGGGTACTCCGTGGGACCGAGGGACAGCAGCACAGTGGAAAAGGAAGACAGATGGAGGGGTCAGAAGTGAACGGAGAGAGCAATGGGATGGGCAGAGGAAAAACAGAAGCTTTCGGTGTTCCCAGTCAGAGGTGGGTGTGGGGATCTCATCTCTTCTCTCTCAGGGGGTGGCCCTGTTCCCCAGTTTTAATGGGTTTGCCTCATGTTCATATTTGAAAATGAGCCCTTCTCCTCCATCACTAGGCTTGGCCAACAAGCAGCTCTGGAGCAGAAGGCGGAAGCCCCTCCCCACTCATCAGACTGTAACGGGGGTGAGCGAGGGCACTGGGACTACAGGCTGATTGGACATTAGTCATACCGCACGCTGCATTTCCTAATGAGAAAATGATCCCAAATTGCTCCAAGGGATGGCTGTGATTGAACTATTTGCCTTGACATCCGCTGCTGTAGTGAACGTGTACACGTGTGTGCTTGCACAAACATGTGCACACAATCACCCTTCACCACGCACCTCCGACCTGGAACAGCTTGGGCTTCCAGAGTTTAGCTCCAGCTTTCACTGTGTACCTTCCCTACTGTAGCTCGGATGTGGTTGTCCTGAGAGGGGAGGGAGGAATCCCAGGGTTGGGCAGAGCAGCCCACTTCAGCCCCTCCCCCTGGGTGTTCTCATAGCCCACCTGTTTGCAGGGAGCTGGATTTAAATGACTGAAAGTTTCAGGTCATCAAATGTCTGCCTCTTAAAATGAGACCTGTTTCTTCCCAGGCAAGAATTTGGAGTTCTTTCCAGATCCTTCTACACTCTCTGCTGTGAAACTCCTATTTTATCTGGACATCCTCTGCGTGAGGTGGATCAAGCCACTGAGAAGCAGTCCCTTTTTTGCCAGGAGAAGAATTTGAAGCATATTTCAAACCAAATAACTATTAAATAAATATTAATATATTAATAAATAAAAATGTATTATTAAATAAATATGCATAGGAACTAGAACGTTCTTAATGTAGAATTCACGCATGCCAAGGAGTCTAAGAGTGCATGGCCTTGATTATAAGGACATTAACATACCGCCTCCCTTGCTTCTCTAAGCCATACTCCCTGGTCTCGTGCAATGGTCCCTTCCCTGGGGTGTCCCTCACTACCACTTTCTCAGTCATAACTCACCCTCCTAATTCTGTTGTCCATCCCTGTCTCTCTAGTTCCTGCAATTCCCCAGACATTCGCTGAGCTCCCATCAGTCAGCTTTAGCTTGGCTGTGAGCAAGCTGCTCTAACAACTCTGGCCGAGACACTGTGCACACTTTCTGGGCTCTGGACTGAGGCGTAGCCCTCACCTCTTCCTGGGACATGCTGTTCCCAAGGCAGAGGGGAAAAGCAAATGACTGTGTGAGCCTGCATGGTTCAAAAGTCTCTGCTCAGATGTGACACACGTGACTACCCATCCAGCTGCCCAAAGCAGGTTACATGGGTGAAGGGCAGGTGGGAGGAATAAATCTCTTACCTAAAGCTCTAGTACATGTGCCTCCATGGGTGCATGCCATTCATGTGCCCTGAGCACCTGTGTGTCCTGAGCACCCATGTGTCATGAGCACCCGTGCGCCCTGAGCACCCGTGCGTCCTGAGCACCCGTGCATCCTGAGCACCCGTGCGTCCTGAGCACCCGTGCGTTCTGAGCACCCATGCGTCCTGAGCACCCGTGCATCCTGAGCACCCGTGTGCCCTGAGCATCCGTGTGTCCTGAGCACCCGTGTGTCCTGAGCGCCCTTGTGTCCTGAGTACCCATGTGCCCTGAGCACCCGTGCGTCCTGAGCATCCGTGCGCCCTGAGCACCCGTGCGCCCTGAGCATCCCTGTGTCCTGAGCACCCGTGTGTCCTGAGCACCCGTGCGCCCTGAGTGCCCGTGCGTCCTGAGCGCCCGTGCGTCCTGAGCGCCTGTGCGTTCTGAGCGCCCATGTGTCTTGAGCATCCGTGCGTCCTGAGCACCCGTGCGTCCTGAATACCCATGCGCCCTGAGCACCCATGTGTCCTGAGCACCAGTGTGTCCTGAGCACCCATGTGCCCTGAGTACCCATGCACCCTGAGCACCTGTGTGTCCTGAGCACCACCCATGCTTAGACTCAGGGTTGTTGGGCATTTAGAGCAGTTCAATGTCTGCTCTTAGCCTGGATTCAAATCCTCTTCCTGTAACCATTAGGGGCTTTTGATTACTGTGACTATGCTCCCTGTACTGCCTGGTTTTGTGTGTCACTTGACACAAGCTAGAGTTACCAGAGAGGAAGGAGCCTCAGTTGAGGAAATGTCTCCATGAGATCTGACTGTAAGGCATTTTCTCAATTAGTGATTTATGTGGAGGGTCCAGCCCATGGAGGGTGGGGCCATCTCAAGGCTAGTGGATTCTATAAAAAAGCAGACTGAGCAAGCCAAAGGAAGCAAGTCAGTAAGCAGCCCCTCCACAGCCTCTCTCTCCATCAGTTCCTCCCTCCAGAATCCTGGCCTGTTTGAGCTCCTGTCCTGACTTCCTCCCAGCGATGAACAGTGATGTGGAAGAGGAAGTCAAATCAATCCTTTCCGCCACAGTTGGATTTTTGGTCATGGTGTTTTCATCAGAGCAAGAGAAACCTTAACTAAGACAGCTACCTAACTGGTTTCCACCCCCCAAATCTTGCAGTCTCTCCACTCTTCTCCTCTTTTCATGTGCAAAGCAAAGGGTGCATGGGGGACTCGCTTACTGGTACAGAATTGCACTTTATGAGATGAAGTTTTGGCCGTGTGAGAATACTTCACGTGACTGACAGTGGCTAGAATTTGAAGTCCTGTGAGTGAATCCTCACCTTTTCACAGTCTTCAGTGGTTTCCCTTTGCTCTCAAAAGAAAATCCAATTCCTCACTTTGCTCTCTAGAACTCCCATTGAAGTGTCCTGTGGCCCCTCCTCCAGCCCTCCTTCCTTTTCTTTCCTTTCTGTTTTTAAATTTTATTTTACATACCAACCACAGCTTTACCTCCCTCCTCTTCCCGTTCCCTTCCCCAGCCTCCCTTCTACCCCCCATCCACTCCTCCTCCCTTCAGAAGGGATAAGGCCTCCCATGGGAGTCAGCGAAGCCACAGCCCTCCTTTCTTGCTTGGTCATCATTGCTCATTCCCACCTTGGTCTCTTTACATTTCTACATGAGCATTACAATTCTTTACATATTTATTTTGTGTGTGTGCATGGTGTGTATGTGGGTATGTGTGCATCATGTTGTGCACAGGGAAGTCAGAGGACGACTTGAGGAGTCAATGAGTTCCCTTCCAGGTCTCCAGGCTCAGTCAGCGAGTGCCTTGACTCGCTGAGTCACCTCACTGATCCCTACAACAGCATTTCTGCTTTCAGGGAAAAACTCTGCTCCCGTGACATGGGCCATCCTTCACTCCCTGTTTCTGCCCATTTACCGTCTCTGATTCGTGTGCTTTCTAGGCCTGTCTTTGTTCCCACAGTTCTAGATGTTTCTCTCATAGACCTCCTCCCTGTGTGCAAGGTGGCATTAGCAACATCTGGATCATCAAGGATTTTTTCCTTTAAGACAATGACATTTATCAAGATATCCGAGTCTTTACTTTTCCCTTTTCTCACGCAGTCTAGTCTTTCTAGAGCATAGAAAATGCACACAAGGCATAGACATGTTGGAGGTGATCACTGGTGTCGACGAGACTGCAGGGAAGCAGAAGCCATGGCTTTCTGTAACAATCTCGTCATATCAAAGGACATCTGAATGGAAATATGTTTTGTCACAGGCAGCCTCCCCAGGTGCTGGTGTCTACTTACCACATGCTCATTTGGCATTTGCCACTAACTTTGTTTAACAGGTAAGGAAACTGAGGTTCAGGTAGAAAAGGTGATACACCCACATATAGCGATATATATATAAAATATATAATTTGTATATATAGCATACCCACATATAATATATCTTATACACAAATAATATATAATACACACATATATATACATATAGTGTGTAACATATATAAAGGTAATATATATATATTGTGGTACATGTATTTGTGTGTGTGATGCTGGGGATTGAGCCTATGGCCTTGCACATGCTAGTCGCTACTACTAAGCTCTATCTATCTATCTATCTATCTATCTATCTATCTATCTATTTATCTATCTATCATCTATCTATAATCTCTGCCTATCATATCTATCTATCATCTGCCTATTTTATCTATCTATCTATCTATCTATCTATCTATCTATCATCTGCCTATTCTATCTATCTATCTATCTATCTATCTATCATCTATCTATCTATCTATCTATCTATCTATCTATCTATCTATCATCTGCCTATTTTATCTATCTATCTATCATCCATCTATCTATCTATCTATCTATCTATCTATCTATCTATCATCTGCCTATCCTATCTATCTATCTATCTATCTATCTATCTATCTATCTATCATCTGCCTGTCTATCATTTATCTATTATCTATCTTGCATTTGTGCACCTATGTATCTCTCTATCTTCCTATCTATCCATTTACCTATATACTATAGATTTTGTTAAGCTACTTGAGAAAGAATTCTGGGCAGCCTAGGCTAGTCTTGATCTCTGTATAATCAAAGATGATCTTGAACTTCTGCTCCTCCTCCTTCCGCCTTCTCAGACCTGGAATTTACAGGTATTCAACACCATGTCTGGTTTTATGTGGTGCTGTGAATCTAACCCAGGGCCTTGTGCTTGTTAGGCAAGCTCTCTATCAACTAAGCTACATGCTTTATTCCTTCTTTGTGTTTTTAAGCTTTGAGTCCAAGTCTCACTAAGTTTCTTAGGCTGGCCTTCAGCTTGTGGTCCTCCTGCATCAGTCTCCTGCGTAGCTGGAATTATAGTTATGTGCATCCAGGCTCCTGTTGAAAAAGCTAATATTTAAGAGATAAACTTTGAAGAGTTACAGGCTATGGAGAGGCATGTCCATCTCATGGAGAAGGGTGTGCTCTCGAGGCTGAGAGATGCAATTGGTTGACAGTCAGGTGTCACCATGATGCCTAGCAGCTTGCAGCTTGCCACAGGACAAAGAACCATCCCACTTGGTGATTGAAACCATGATGGATCAATACAAAGCAAACACCATTGATTGCCACCCAGAACCACCCAGAAGTAGAACCACTTCCCGGGTTTCCCCTCCCCATTCTCTTTCTCAAGAGACACCCAGCACCTGTGTTTCCGTGTCTCCCAGTATGGCGACCTGTTTGCCTGAAGCTGGGAGGAAATGGGATATGGCCTTCTCTCCTGCTCCATCTTGTCACATACGCCCAAAGGTGGACAGTGTACCTAGGAGAGGAACTGGCTAGTGTTGTGAATCCATTGCACAAACACATAGACTTGCCTGGGTAGAGGCATGCCTGTGGGTAGATGTGAGGAGCAGGCTTGCTGGTGATGTGGGATGGCAATCACTGTCTGCCCTAACCAGGGCTTGATTGTGGCAGCAGTGAGTGCGCGTGTGAGCTCTCCCACCAGAACCCCCCTCTGACCTATGAAAGGCTGCTCTGCGGTGCATCTTCCTAATAAATCCCTGCTCTCCCCGAGAAAGCCGCTGCGAACGTCGTGCAAGGAGAGCTTGTCAAGTAAGTGACCCTCGGTTTAAGGCCTGAGTCAAAGCCGAGTGTGTTTTCGTAACCAGAAGGCTATGTGTTTCTTAGCTACTGGTCAGACTGGATGAGACTGCCAAGGGGCCTTCAGGGAATTTCCTCACCATGTAACAAATTTATGAGTCATATGAAAAGCTGGGAAACGCTTCAACCAGCTGCCTCTTATTGACTCAGAGGCTGCTTTACAGCACCTTGGTGCTGGGGCCTTGGATGGAGCCAGTAGAAAGGTTTATTATATATC